TTTCTGAAGAAATATATCCAGTTTTAAGTTAACCTGAAGAAATATATCTGAAGAAGTTTTCTGAAGAAATATATCCAGTTTTAAGTTAACCTGAAGAAATATATCTGAAGAAGTTTTCTGAAGAAATATATCCAGTTTTAAGTTAACCTGAAGAAATATATCTGAAGAAGTTTTCTGAAGAAATATATCCAGTTTTAAGTTAACCTGAAGAAATATATCTGAAGAAGTTTTCTGAAGAAATATATCCAGTTTTAAGTTAACCTGAAGAAATATATCTGAAGAAGTTTTCTGAAGAAATATATCCAGTTTTAAGTTAACCTGAAGAAATATATCTGAAGAAGTTTTCTGAAGAAATATATCCAGTTTTAAGTTAACCTGAAGAAATATATCTGAAGAAGTTTTCTGAAGAAATATATCCAGTTTTAAGTTAACCTGAAGAAATATATCTGAAGAAGTTTTCTGAAGAAATATATCCAGTTTTAAGTTAACCTGAAGAAATATATCTGAAGAAGTTTTCTGAAGAAATATATCCAGTTTTAAGTTAACCTGAAGAAATATATCTGAAGAAGTTTTCTGAAGAAATATATCCAGTTTTAAGTTAACCTGAAGAAATATATCTGAAGAAGTTTTCTGAAGAAATATATCCAGTTTTTTTAGGTTAAGACAACTCCCATATCGTGACTGACTATGTTGTAGCATATTTAAGGTAGTTGTAGTAAATACCTGGACGTTCATGCATGTTTGAGATATTTCACACCAAATGATCCACAACATACCTGTTTGATTAATTCTTCATAAGTTATGAAATAATCTCCTTTAGGGTTCTCTAAAAGGATTGTCCCCATGCTCCCTGTCACTCCAGCTCCGGGTTTAACACTAGAACTCAGTTTGACATTGACAAAGTTACAAAACGGAACGGGTCCTGAGTTGGCAGAGGTTTGATGTCCTCGGTAGATCCGCAGACTTACTTTACTCTCTTTTAACTAAAGAGAAAAATATATCCAGTGTTATTTTTTGTGTGTTCCGATGTTATGTATTCAGGTGAATATACTGTTTTTGATGTTACTCTATACGAGTGTATATCTACACCGGGCAAGCTGAAAGGTTAGCCTGACCACGGTGGGAATCGAACCGGCGACCTTTGGGATACTAGTCCAATACAAAACAAGCATCTTTATCATAGAACACATTGGTATCGAAGGACCTAGACTTAGTTCCGTAATACCACACACTCGAACAGACTTGGCCTCGTAGCTCAGTTGGCAGAGCATTGGACTAGTATCCCAAAGGTCGCCGGTTCAATTCCCACCGTGATCAAGCTAAATTTTCAGCCTGCCTGGGGTGGATATACACTCAGAGTAACATCAAAAACATTATATCCAGTAGAGGTGTGCAAATCCGATCCGATCGGACTCGTCGGAACAAAAATATTCATTTCGGATTGGATCGGATTGATAAAGTTGTTTCGTAGTCGGATCGGATTTCGATATTGGAAATAAAACGAATTAATTTTATAAAATAACATGTATATAACGTGTGCTCTGATTGGTCGAAACCCGTGTTTGGATCAGGCCATCCAAACACGAAAGACTATCGCGTTGTTGTTATTTTATAAAAACAATTACTTTATGGATTCCGTGTTTGGATGGCCTGATCCAAACACTTGGGAATGTTGCTCGAGTTAAGAAAAGCGCGCAAAATCACTCGCCTTCGGCTCGTGTTTCGCTCGCTTTTCTTAACTCTCGCAATATTCCGGCGGTGTTTGGATCAGCCCTTCCAAACACGGAAACCGTAAAGTAATTGTATAATCCACAACAACGCGGTTGTCGCTGCATTATTCGTTTGATACTTCAATTGGACGTCACTTTGTCAGCTTCTTGACATATATTTCTTGCTTTTACATTTATTTGGTTAAATATTTTCACTTGAATGAGAAATTTATTTTATTAAAGGATTCCTCGGATCGGATCGGAATTCTTTATCAAAACTCGGATCGGATTAGACAATTTCGGATCGGATTTTAAACATTAGTATAAATGTCCAATCCGATCCACACCTCCAATATCCAGTGTTGCTGGGCAGCAAACGCCGGTCAACATCAGAAAACGTCCACACTTAATAAAGACTTTGCATTATTTTCTCACTCTGATGTAAGTGCTGGTAGCCTGCGAACAGGCGTTTATTCATGGGGCCTCGTAATAATTATGAGGTCCACCCACTGAGCTGTATAATAACTGGAGGACCTGCTCCTATACTTCGTTCAGTCAACGAAGTGTCCGCAAAAACATGGCGGATTTTGATGAAAAATGACGCCATTTCCATGACAACACTTACTTTATTCTCATAGTAGTTACCACTGAC